CACATATCTCCCCCACACCTAGCGCACATCTGGCTCACATCTCCCCCACACCTCAACGACAGTTGCGGCACATATCCTCCACATCTACCCCACATCTTCCCCACACCTTCGCCACACCTCCGCCAGATCTCGGCCAGCTCTGCCTCACATCTCCCCCTATCTCGTGCTGCAGGCGCTCAGCGAGGCGCTAGACTCCAAGTCCAAGGAGGCCGCCCGCGCGCGCGAGGTGGCCACCGCGCCACCCACGGGACCGAACCCACACTGGATTCGACCACTCTGGAGGGTATGGGACTAGGCCCCCACCCTCAGCTACGGCGCGTTGGCGCGTGCGCTGCGCCACGGCGCCGAGCACTAGAAGCGGAACGCGCATCTCCCCATATCTCCCCATATCTCCCCATATCTCCCCATATCTCCCCATACCTCGTGCCCTAGCAGCGGAACATCTCCCCGTATCTCCCCATATCTCCCCATATCTCCCCATATCTCCCCATATCTCCCCATACCTCGTGCCCTAGCAGCAGGACACGTGCACGTGTGTATACGCGCTCTAGTTCTCCCCACTAGCGCCCGAGAGAGGCGACACGCACTCCGCTGCCTTCACGGCGTGTTGCCGCCCCGAGGCCTGCGCAGTCGCCACGCACACACTGCCTCGAGGCACGACGAGATCTGACGAGAGCATGTGGAAGCCGTGTGAGCCCCACCCACCCCTCCGCCTCCAGTGGCAAGGCCCCACGGGGTGGTAGCAAACCCCAGTGTGGACGCGCGAGGCGCCGTATGCGGCGGGCCCTTCTAGCGCGCCAGTGTGTGTGCCCTTGCTTGTGATGCGTGGATGTGTGAGCCGGAGACACACTAGTGGCAGGCTCCGAGCCGTACGGGGAGCACTCTCGGGTAACCTCGCGTAATCTCGGGTCATCTCAGGCTTCGAGCCGTACGGCGTGCCCGCGCTGCCAAAGCTCATCAAGCTGCTCGCCGACAAGGACAAGAAGGTGGCTGATGCGGCGACGGTCGCCGCCGAGGCGACGATCGTTGGGCAGGTGGAAGCGAAGCGCCGGAGGCCTCCCTTCCTGACGCGGCGCCGCGTTTCTTCTTCTTCTAGGCGACGATCGAGGGCCCGTTCAGACACCTCGTTGCGCGGCTCCTGGTTCGGCAGGCGCGCGTTTTTCTGGTTTTGTAGGCGATGCTCGAGGGCCTCTCCACCCTCTCCGTCAAGGCGGTCGTCGGCGCGCTGTACGAGGGCGCCTACCCCTCGCTCACCCTACAGCCACAGGACCGAACCCACACTGGATTCGGGACTCGGGAGGGTATGGTACTAGGCATGGGCGTGGTCGGCGGCGGAGGGCGAGTCCGCATCGAGTGCCTCAAGCTGGCGGGCATGCTCGCCACGCAGGCGCGGGGAGATTGCCCGAGATCTGCGCGAGATTGCCCGAGATTGTCGAGCTGGCGGGCATGCTCGCCACGCAGGCGCGGGGAGATTGCCCGAGATCTGCGCGAGATTGCCCGAGATTGTCGAGCTGGCGGGCATGCTCGCCACGCAGGCGCGGGGAGATTGCCCGAGATCTGCGCGAGATTGCCCGAGATTGTCGAGCTGGCGGGCATGCTCGCCACGCAGGCCCCGGGCACGATGGGCCCTTGTCTGCCCGAGTGCATCCCTCTTGTCATCGAATGCCTCAACGACTCGAACGCAAAGGTGCAGACGCCGTTCACACCTCCTCTGGAGGCGCTGTTCACGCCTCCTCTGAGGCGCTGTTCACACCTCGAACGCAAAGGTCCAGACGGCCGCAGAGGAGGCGCTGCCCGTGCTCTGCTCGTGCGTGCAGAACGCCGAGGTCGCGTCGACGCTGCGCGACTTCATCATCGACGCGCTCAAGAAGCCGGACAAGACATTCGAGTGCGTGGAGGAGGTGCTGATGACCACCTTCTGCAACCCGATGGACGGTGCGTCCCTCGCCCCCCCCTCTGCGAAGCCTCTGCGATGCCTCTGCGAGCCTTCCGGGAGCCTTCCAGGAGCCTTCCAGGAGCCTTCCGGGAGCCTTCCGGGAGCCTTCCAGGAGCCTTCGAGGGCCCTCCTAGGCACGTCTCTCGCCTTTATGATGCCGATCATCATCCGCGGGATCAAGGACGCAAACTACGAGCTCGTCAAAAAGTCGACCGTCTGCGCGTCCAACTTGTGCGCCCTCATCAAGGATTCGTCCGACATCGCGCCGTTTGTGCCGCTGCTGCTGCCGCTCCTCGAGAAGAACGTCGAGCACTCGTCGCCGAACATCCGCGAGGCGACGCAGACGGCGCGCGAGCGGCTGCTCGAAGGTGATCTCGGGCAATCTCGGCCAATCTCAGGGTGGGTTCGGGTACCGTGGGGTAGGGGAGGGGAGGTTCGGGTACCGTGGGGTAGGGGAGGGTGGGTTCGGGTACCGTGGGGCAGGGGAGAGTGGGTTCGGGTACCGTGGGGTAGGGGAGGGGAGGTTCGGGTACCGTGGGGCAGGGGAGGGTGGGTTCGGGTACCGTGGGGTAGAGGCGGCAGGGGCGAGAGAGGCAGGGGCGGGGTCAGGCGGGCAGGGAAGGAGAGACACGCGGCAGCGAGGAGAGAAACGAGGGCAGCAGGGAGGCGGCGGAGGAGGGGAGACACGCGCGACAGCGAGGAGAGAAACGAGGGCAGCAGGGAGGCGGCGGAGGAGGGGAGACACGCGCGACAGCGAGGAGAGGCGGGAGGGGAGAGAGGGAGGCGGCGGCGGAGGGGAGACACGCGCGACAGCGAGGAGAGGCGGGAGGGGAGAGAGGGAGGCGGCGGCGGAGGGGAGACACGCGCGACAGCGAGGAGAGGCGGGAGGGGAGAGAGGGAGGCGGCGGCGGAGGGGAGACACGCGCGACAGCGAGGAGAGGCGGGAGGGGAGAGAGGGAGGCGGCGGCGGAGGTGGAGCTCCTTGACGAGTGACCGCTTCGCATCGTCGGCGCCCTTCGCGGCGGTGTCCTTGCCCCAGTCCGACTTGTTCCACAGCCGCTCGCCGATGAACATCGTCACCGACTTGGAGCAGAGGTCCCAGCCGACGATCGCCGCGGCCGCCGCGAGCGACTTTGTGAAAAAGTACGAGGTGATGGCGGTGACGATGCCGGCGGTGAAGCGCCACCCGATCGCCTTGACCGCCGAGCGCGTCACGCTCTCCTTGACCGCCATCCGGACCTCCGCGCCACGCGCAGCCGCCACAGGCCGAGCCAACGCCACAGGCCGAGCCGCCGGCGCCAAGTGCACAGCAGCCACGTGGGCGAGCGCGGCCGGAGGAGTACGCAGCTGCGGTGCGTACCGCGGCGACGCCACCAGGCCGTCCGCCGTCGCCAGCAGCGCCGCGCCGAGCAGCCAGGAGGAGATCGAGCAACCCATTTTCGGTCGAGCACAGCTCTGCAAGGGGCCCCTCCCTCCTCTCGCCCGCCTTCATAGCGCGAGAGGGTCTCGAAGGAGAGGAGTAGTTGAATTGAGAAATGCGCTCCTCTTGCGAGACAAACAAATCGGCCACGAGGCCTGGGCGGCCGCCGCGCTCGGCGGCGGCCGCGCCTGACATGCGTGGTGAGGGGGGAGGCGCTGCTCCCTACCCCCCCCCCCCCCACCCACAAAACACCACGGACAGCACTCCACACACACCATGCATGGACGGCGGAGGGTACGACGACGGACACACTCGCAAGACTCCAACAGATAACAGAACAGACCAACCTCGAATCTCAGTCGCTCGGGAGAGGCGGGTGGGGCGACAGAGATCAAAGGGGGGGAGCACAGTGGCGTGGACGAGAACGCGCGTGCGCAAACAAGCGGACGCGCGATCCTGAAACGT